TGTATGAGAAATGCCTTGAGTGTAGGTTTGCTGATATGAACTTACAGGTTTGGTCAGTGTCGAGTAAAATTGCAAAAGTGCGGCAGCCCTAGTGCAAATCACTCAAGTTTGGTCAAAACAAACATAATACCTACACTATCAAGTCAATGTTTCTAACTTGAACCACAAAAATAGTGAAATAGAGTAGCATTTCCTCGTTCACAACACTGAACATAAGTTAATTTTCATAAATACAATGCATGCCACTTGATAATTAAAATGACCATTCTATGGCAATCTATTTGCAAAGAACCTATAATGGTAACTGGAATAACGCAGTCATTAGATATTACCTGTTGTTGATGTTGTCAGTTCAAACCTTTTTCTTGCCAAAGTTATTCAATGCTTGAGGAAGAACTCAATCTCCTCATGAACTTCAGATATTGCACATTGACTAAAACTGCAGAGTTTTACACAAAGTCTAAGGTCTAAATTATAATAGCGGTTTACAAGTTAAGTTTAGTTTTCTCTAGCAGTTACACTGATTTACAGAAATAAAAAAAGTAATAGTAAAGCACTGGGTCACATAAGCATGTATGCAAATCTGTTTCTCTGATATCTCATGAACCACCTATTGGATTTCAAGCTTGTTTTGGAGTAATGCACAAACCTGATTAGTTTTTGTTTGAAATCTGCACATTATTTGCATAATAATTAGTAATAATAGCTAGCCAATTAGTAGCCCATTGACTGCCATAATTTTCTCGCCCAAATGGTACAATATTTTGCTTATTTGTAAGTATTTTTCAATAATTTAATTGATCATTTTGGACAGAATGGGCATAACTTTCTATTAGCTACAGGTCTAGATTTTATTTTGTGAATGGTGATGACTTTGGTACTCAAATGGTTAATGACATGTAAATTACCTATTATGCACATATGGTATATAGAACTATTTTGTGAATGGTGACAAAAGTTGACTTTGGTGCTCAAATGGTTAATGATATGCAAATTACCTAATTAATATGCACAGACAGTATATAGAACTATTTTGTGAATGGTGATGAAAGTTGACTTTGGTGCTCAAAGGGTTAATGATACATGTAGGCAAACTACCTAATTATTATGCATAGACAGTATATAGAACTCTTTTGTGAATGGTAACAAAAGATGACTTTGATGCTCAAATAGTTAATAATATGCAAATTACCTAATTATTATGCACAGACAGTATATAGAACTCTTTTGTGAATGGTGATGAAAGTTGACTGGTGCTCAAAGGGTTAATGATATGCAAATTACCTAATGATTATGCACTAATGGTATATAGAACTAAATTGTTAATGGTAACAAAAGATGAATTTGATGCTCAAATAGTTAATAATATGCAAATTACCTAATTATTATGCACAGACAGTATATAAAACTATTTTGTGAATGGTGATGAAAGTTGACTGGTGCTCAAATGGTTAATGATATGCAAATTACTTAATTATTATGCACTAATGGTATATAGAACTAAATTGTTAATGGTAACAAAAGATGACTTTGGTGCTCAAAGGGTTAATGATATGCAAATTACCTAATTAATATATACATATGGTATATAGAACTTTTTGTGAATGGTGACAAAAGTTGACTTTGGTGCTCAAACGGTTAATGATATGCAAATTACCTAATTAATATGCACAGACAGTATATAGAACTATTTTGTGAATGGTGATGAAAGTTGACTTTGGTACTCAAAGCGATAAATGTGGTAACCAATTTCATCGTATCTCTTTCAGTCTGGTAACACTCCGACATCAAGAAGTGTAGTAGTAAAAAAGAGGCCTTCAAAGCCAATACAGCTGATAGTTACTCAGAGTCCGTCTTCTTCCGCAACTTCTATTATTATTCCAATGAGGTCTATTCGATTTGGAAGTTATGAGGTTCCAAGTTTCAAACCAGATGTTATCTTCACTGAAGAGTCTGTTATATTAACAGTTACAAGTATGTTTCTCACAATACATGCACTGACATATATAAAAAAGATGATCACAATGATCTAGCATACAATGAATGTAGTTTTTGTGTAGGTGCATTTCTAATTTAGCAAATATAGTATTGTTTCTAATTCCAAATATAGTTTGAAATTGCAGAGTTCTTGAGACTACCTAAAATCTGGGTAAAATGTTTACTGAGACTAATTGAAAAAATATAAGTTAAGCTTGAAAAGGGTTGACATTTTTTTTTGGCAGTGCTTTCAGTTTACACATCTTGATCGGAACCTCTCTAATCATTATGTAACCATTTGATGGTCTTAAGTCATCTTTAAGCACAATCAACATAGTTTGCTCTTTTCCACATGAGGTGTGAAAATTATAAATTTTTTTTTCAACAACTACATGCATAAGTTCTATCACAATTTCTTTGTTTGTTCCAAAATTATGATTGAATTCAAATTTCACCTCCATTTCAGTGAGGGGGGAAATTTTGTACTCAAAAGGTTAAATTTATGTTTACCTAACAGTTGATGGTCGTGACATAACATTTACTATTAATGGTGAAGATATGACTAGATTTGAAATTCATACAAAAACACCAGCTGCCTTAATGAATATAATTACAACTCCACGTGTTGGTAATCTCATCCGAGATAGATGTAATATGAAGCACAAATCAATGGGATGGTTTGATCCTGGCAGTATGGGTAGACTGTATTTAGTATTTACTTCCATTTAATTTCAATATTTTTATGTTTTGAGCTTATACACTGGGTTTTTAAGTTCACAATTTCACAACCTCAAATGATTGGCTATTCGTTTTATCCCAACCAACAGTTGGTGTTATAATCCAAGCTCCAAACGAGTGTGCCTTCAAAGGCATGCACCACTGGGACAAATGCAACTAACAAAAAACAATGCTTTCTTGTTTACCAAATTATCTTCTAGTGGAATCTGAAAAGAGAATATTAATGATAGCTTTCAAAGATCCTCTAGACCTGTACACTTTTGCTACACTATCAAAAATATTTAGAAATATAGGAATTTCAAATAATATAGGTGAGTTGTGGAATTTTAATTATTATGCTATACTTTATTGGTGGCGGGGGCTGCCCATTTAAAACATCTATTGGGATGACACTGGCAGTTTTGCTGCCGAATCAAACAGACTCTATATTCAGGACCCTGAGAATTCCTGTCATCAATAATGCTTGATAACATCTGTTTCTGTGTTTGTATTTATGACTAAAGCATATATACATACATCGTCAGGCTGCTTGCTTTGTACATTGTGTATTTGTACACTCATGTTAAACTGCCCTCAACATAGAGTTTGTTAGTGTTTTTAGTCCCCGTTCGGACGTAGTCCGAAAACGGGGACTTATGGTCTGCCCTGTGTGCGTCCGTGCGTGCGTCCGTGATCACCTGTATCTCGAACATGCATGGACCGATTAAGTTCAAACTTCACTCATACATCACTTATTATATGGGACATATGCACATGCATTTTTTCCATGATTCGATTAACGATAGCCGAATAGCGGCCATTTTAAGGCCGAAAATGCATCAAAATCGCACATTTTCACCATTCCGGACTTGGATCTCAGTTATGCATGGACGGATTTTGTTCAATCTTGGTACATACATTAAACATAATAGGACCTTGATGCACGACATTTTTTTTTCGGATCAAGTTCGAAATGGCCGACTGGCGGCCATTTTGTTTTAAAGAATTCAGTTCTGGATCCGTATCCGAGACATGTCTGGATTGATCAAGTCCAAACTTCACACACACATGGTACATCATGTCACAAATAGATATGTGCATTTGTTTCATGATCTGCTTAACAATAGTTGAATGATGGCCATTTTAAGGCCGAAAATGCATCAAAATCTTGTATTTTCACAATTCGAACCGGATCTCAGTCATGCATGGATGGATTTTGTTCAGATTTAGTACAATGTGTTGTACTGAAAGTGGTCTGAGATTTCGGTCATGATCTGCTTTGAATGTATATGTCACTCAAATATGAACGGAACGGGGACGTGTCATTGACAATGACTTGTTGTTTTTATGATATAAATGTTTCTCTAAAAATTTATCACTGTAACTGATTTATTATTCTTCACTATAGATGGTTTCTTTGTTCAGCTTACTAAAGACGAATCTAATGACCTGCTGGTGCTTTGTAGAGATCACAGTTCAGCAATAAAGTCACAAAAAACGAACACAACTCTGCAGACTACTAGATACCAAAGTTTTGAGGCTAGTGACGCAGTTGAGTTGGATGATCACAGTGTATTTAGTGAGCGTATTGTAAAGTGAGTATTCTGATTATCTACTTGTTATATGACTGATGTTAACCCCTGATTTAATTTCAGGTTTAAATTATCTTTTTGTTTTATATGCATTTTGAAGACATTACAACTACGGTGTAATTTAGGGACGACGTCAAAAGATCGATGTCGGATAAAAAACTTAATTTCTTTAGTTTTTTTCCAAACCCCCCTACCCCGCACTGAAACTTAATTGATAAATATTGGTCATGGCGTCAGACTACATTCACCATTAAATACAAATTGATAATCGGACAGTAGTATTGCATAGCAGTTGGTTGTCGGGTGGGTGTAAAAAGATTTTACAAATGCACCTCATTTGACGCACAAATTTACACTCGAACCAAACCATTTTTTCTGTTTTTTTTACCTTTTCGGTTATTTCTGTCCATGATTGGATAGAAAAAAAACGAACTACAAATACTCCAAGATTTTTTTGACTTCATTAAAAAATAAAATCGTTTTTGTAGGATGGAAACTTTTTGAGGTCAACCCCCCCCCCCCCACCCCCAAACTAAAGGAAATAAGTTTTTTATCCGACATCGATCTTTTGACGTCGTCCCTTATTGTATTGGAAGACTCTATGTCATGGAGGATGTTGAGGATAATGATGATTTGTGGATTTTGATGATGATGTGCATCATTTTGTCTCAGAAAAAATTACATTAATGCTTTTTTTGAGGTCTGTGATAATTCCAAAATTTGTTATCGTATTATTGTAACTATTTCACTGGGATTGTGGTGGGTTGGAAGTGTCTGTATTAGATGCCTGTAAAATATCAAATCGCTGCAATTTCTAGATGTGAACTGTAAATCTAGTTTTATCATGTCTCTCACTCCACCACTCGTATCAACCGCATTTTTAGCTCCGCTGTTGATTTTTCAAGCCGAGCTTATATAAGTGATTGTCTGATGTCGTCCGTGTCAACTTTTTCGACTTGTTCTTGAAAACTACAATTCTTTTTCCCTTGATACTTGGTGTATTTGTACCTTGGATAGACCTCTTTTAGATTTGTTCATTTCGTGATGATATCTTCAATTCTCTAATTTTGATGAATATTTTTGTCATTTTTAATAAAGTGATATGTTAGACTTCTTGGATTGCTTTGATATATTTATTGGTACTATATGTGGACCTCCCTTATATTTCTTCATTTTCTAATGATATCTTCAGTTCTTTAATTAAAATGTGTATAACTAACAGCGGAGCTATCTCAGCCGAGAAGTTGCCTGGTTGCTTGTTTGCTGTCATGTAGATATTATGATTCTCCATTCATAATTATTCTAATTGTGTTTCAGATTATGTTCATATCCTCCACCACCGTGTACAGGAGCTATTACAATTACAAATGAAGATCTATTCTGTCTCAGAGAAGGAGAATTTCTTAATGATGTAATCATAGATTTCTATTTGAAGTAAGTTAGCACACTCGGGCAGTATGGGGAATGCATCATCCCATACTATGCATTGCTCAATGCGACTTCTCTACTGTCATTGTATAAACAGTATTATTGTGATAATCACATAGTATTTAGTGGGTAAGAATTTAGGTAAATATTTAATAGATATCAACAATAAGTTCAATGTCAACTGACATATGATTTGCTTGAATCAAACTTGACTGTCTGTAAACTCCTGAAAAATCTTTTGCATTCTTGAAGGGTGTGTGAATAAAATGTTTATTTTACACAATATACTAGTAATTAAATTTTGTGGTAAGTTGATCGCTATAATCAAAACAAAAATGCATTTTTTTTCTGCATTTCATCTCATAGTATAGATTAGAGAAGGATGTTGACATTAAAATTTGTCAAAAAAATCCATATTTTTGTGATAATGTCAAGCGATCACCTGAAAGTATTGATTTGTAAAAAGTAGTGCAGTTGATAATACCTTTATGATGGTGTAATATGCCACCTGATCACTTGAGGGTAATGATATGTAAAAAGTAGTGCCATTAGTGGAGCTCAATGTGATAGAATTAACATTTCTGTTTTTTGTCTCTTCAACATATCATGCTGTCTTTCTCCAGATATTCAAAGCTGTGTATCTTGTTACCCTAGGTACTTGACACTTAATGTGTTGAGTGAAGCTGACAGAAAACGCACATACATGTTCAGTTCTTTCTTTTACAAGCGGCTTACTCAGAGAGTCAAAAGGATAGTTGATTCTTCAGTTACCATGACACTGGAGCAGAGAAGGCATGAGCGAGTCAAGACTTGGACCAGACATGTGGACATTTTTGAAAAGGATTTCATTATTGTTCCAATCAATGAAAGGTGTGTGTACATTTTTGCTTTGCCACACTTCATTTATGTAAGGTGGTCTAAAAACTAACTCTGCGACGCAATTGTGTGACTCGAGTGTCGATTATTGCACTCTGCGAAAGGGACGCAGTGGCACTCTGCTAAGAGCATGATTCTGATTGGTTGGTCAAAGTACTTTTCATGCGTTCTAAAACGAACGTTGTACGTCAGCTTTGACTTTGTTGAGTGTATTGTTAATTGTCGTCTCCAAGAAAGTACTCCACGCTCTACTCGCTTTGAAGCTGCCGTCTATGCTAATGAGCATAGTTGCGAGACAAAGCCTTACAACTTAAAGATGGCGTTAAAGTTACACCGTAAAATAGGCAGTCAATACCAGCGTGCAGTTGATTACTGAACAGTGTGGCACGTCGCCAATATATACTTGTTTACCATAGTTCGCGAGCAGTCAGCAAAATAACCATTTAAAACTTAAGGCATGCCGTGAACCCTTACACTGTAAATAAAGTAATATGTGCATCGATCGACCATATGGATTTACGCTTTTCGACCAACCAACAATTAGAATCATGCTCTTCGCAGAGTGACACTGCTACCCTTTCGCAGAATGCAATAATCGAGTAGCACAATCGCATCGCAGAGTTATATTTTAGACCCCCTTACATACCTCCACACTTCTGTCAGTGTTATTTATTGTTCTGATCAATGAAATGTGTATGTACGTCTTTGCCTTCATCACTACTTTGTTACTCAGACCTTATTAGTCCCTGTTTGGATGAAGTCGGGGACATATAATTCGGTCTCTGTCCATCTGTCCGTCTGGAGTCATATCTCAGAGTCCTTTGGACAGATTCCGTTCATTCTTTGCATGTGCCTAGTACTTTATGTGGGACATATGCACATGCAGTGGTTTAGCAATTCGATCAAAATGGCTGACTGGCAGCCATCTTGTTTTTTGAAAATGTTGTATTTTGGACTTGCTTTGTCAGTTTTCATTCAAACTTGGTACATATATTATACATGTTAGGATACATGTCAATGACGATTTCTTTCGCAATTGGATCAAAGATGGCCGACTGGCAGGCATCTTGTTTTTGTTTTTTATATGCGGTATCTTGGACGTGCTTTGTCAGTTTTCATTCAAATTTGGCACATACTTTATACATGTTAGGATACATGACATGACAATTTGTTTCAAAATCTGATCAAAGATGGCCGAATAACAGCTGTTTTTGTTTTTGGCCATATTACTACTACACGGAACACGTGTTTTGATGTAAATAAACAATCTGTTGTATACGCCACTTGTGACTCGAGTTTCAAGGACACGCTCGCGACAACCCCTCTGCTTTAATATGACGTGTACAAAAAGAACTTTCAACAGAGACTGTGTCATTTTCAATGACTTGTATATTTATAAGGTTGATTATTTTGTATGACTTATGCATATTCATTATTTTCTCCAATTTAGTGCCCATTGGTTTCTTGCTTTCATCTGTTTTCCAAGTAAAGCCACTGTGCCAAATGATGATGCCGATGATGACGATGGTATTTTCTATTTATTACTTCACTTCGTAGACTTGCTTATCAGTTTAATGGGTTGTGGTCACCATGTAACACCATGCATGTGTTGAAAAAAATGATTTTCCCACAATCCAATGCACATTTCTGATTGAAATCATGCCCTTTAAAGCACATACATATTTTGTTGTGTAAAATCAAGAGTTTATAATGGAACAATGTTTTTGTTTCATGATTTATGATTTGTCACATGATTGTTCCCTTCTGATGAAGAACATCTCATTTTTTCACACACTGAAAGATTATTTAAGACTACAGTATTATGAACAATTAGAAAAGAATAAAAAACTGGGATCACCGACCTTGTTTTTGAGAAAATCATACATTTGCACAGACTGTATTGGTGTAAAAAAACAACATCATTCTTCCAAATTAAAAAAAAAAAAATTGTTATAGTTTTGAAACTGGACAATTATGCTTCATGGTGCTCTAACAAAAAATATTGCATTTTTGTGCCTTGATTATAAAAAGTACACATGATTTGAAAAATAAAAACAAAATTGCAAGGATTTTATTCATGATTTTTATAATAAAAACAGTCATGTTCATGAGACTCTTCAAGGTGAACCTTCAGAAGAAAATTGGAGAAAAATACTGAATAACGCAATCACTTAACTTTTCCACAGATAATAAAAGCAGTAGTGGAAATGTTGAGAGTTCTGGAGATAATGCTGACCAAAAGTCTGAAAACCCCCAGCTTTCAGTTTTTCTTCAGAGTGATGTAAGTTATGATACTTTCAGTTTATACAAGTATTGTGCTGATGTATATGTAATTTCTTGATTTCTCATATGTGTGTGTGCATGTGTATGTCCTTTTGCTTGTTGATCTCAATCAATGATTTTGAATGGCAACTATTTTTGTACTAACAATTTATCAAAATAAAGCATACATGTAAATGTCATTCCAAAACCAATTCTTAGTTTTGCATAGACAGATTTAGTACATTACATTAAATATTATAGGACCTTCATGCTTGTCAATTTTGTTATCAGGTTTTACTTTGCACATTTCTGTATCAAATAACTGCAAGTAAATACTGCAAACTACTTTAATGAAATTTAATGAGATGGAGAAAAAAATTGCAGTTCTTATGGCTTGGAGTACATTTTTTTGAATACTCACTTTACAATGTAAAAATTTGTGTCAGTAAAAATTTGACTTTTTCAGTACCCCTTCTGCAAAGTCTATGAATAAATATCATTTGTGTATATCTTAGAAACCTGATGATTGCAGTGACATGGAGAGTATGGATTCTAGTAGTCAAAATGGAGACAAGAGTATGATGGAGAGTGATAACAGCAATGCAGAAAGTGATAAGTTTAATCTGAAACAGGAGAATATGGATGCTGGTGATAACACAGCAGAAGATACAGATGAGAAAACAGATTCCACTACTCCAAACTCTTGGAAACAGTATCAAAGGTGAATGTACGACTTCTCAGGTCTAGCGACATGTACATGTATCACTCTTTTGGCCTCTCTACTCGCCTAGGGACATAGTCTGCTGGCCTAGGGACATAGTCTGCTGGCCTAGGGACATTGTCTGCTGGCCTAGGGACATTGTCAGCTGGCCTAGGGACATACTCTGCTGGCCTAGCTACATACTCTGTTGACCTAGCTACATACGCCCCTGA